GTGTGTGTGTGTGTGTGTGTGTGTGTGTGTGTGTGTGTGTGTGTGTGCGAGTGTGTGTGTGTGCGAGTGTGTGTGTGTGTTTGCCTTAACATAGCTCTCCAAAACACAGTCGAGTCATGTGTTTCCCTCCGCCTTATAAACAAGGCCGGATTATACCAGTGTCCCAATATGGGCAGATTAACTCCTCCTCGTCCTCCTCCACCTGGCTCTCTTTGGCTGTATTTAGAGCTCGAGGCTGTCAAGTGCCAGTTGCCAGTTGCCAGTGACGTCACTACCACACGTTCGGCCCAACAGGTGACGGCGAACGGCGGGCGCTGCTCACGCGTTGGCGGTACTGCGGGCGGAGGCCGATCTCCTCGGGGGGGAGGAGGCTGAGCGGGACGCTGGTCTGCGGGCGGATAGAAGGGCCGTTACGGAAGGGAGACTGGGTGGCACTGGGTGGTTGGCTCTCTCTCTCTCTCTATCAATCTCTCTCTGTCTCTCTCTCTTCCTCTCTGTCTCTGTTTCTCTCTCTTCCTCTCTCACTCTCTCTCTCTGTCTCTCTCTCTCTCTTTCTCTCCCTCACTCCCTCTCTCTCCCTCCCTCCCTCTCCCTCCCTTCCTCCCCCTCTCCATCTTTCCCTCTCCATCTCTCCCCCTCTCCATCTCTCCCTCTCCCCCTCTAACTCTCCATCTCTCCCCCTCTCCCTCTCCATCTCTCCCCCTCTCCCTCTCCATCCCCCCCCTCTCCCTCATCATCTCTCCCCCTCTCCCTCTCCCTCCCCTTCTCCCTCATTATCTCTCCCCCTCTCCCTCTCCATCCCCCCCCCCTCTCCCTCTTCATCTCTCCCCCTCTCCCCCTCTAACTCTCCATCTCCCTCCCCCTTCCCTTCCCCCTCTCCCTCATCATCTCTCCCCCTCTCCCTCTCCATCACCCTCCCCCTCTCCCTCTCCCCCCCTCTCCCTCTCCATCTCCCCCCCCCCTCTCCCTCTCCTTTGCATGATCGTCTAGGACAGCGGGATCTTTTGGGGTTTCACGGAGGCTTACGAAGGATTTGGGCGAATATAACATAATTCTAATATTTGAGGTCGCTGGGTAACTTCTGCGCAAAGTTGATATAAAACAAAACAAAATGATCACCAAGATTTATTGAAAACGAATTTAAACAAAAGATAAAAAAAAAAAAATGTCACAGACGTATTGCAAATGAAAGCATTTGCATACGTTCTGTGACTTTTATTTATCTATTTATTTATTTATTTATCTATTTTGCTTAATTTTATTTTCAATAAAAGTTAGTCTTCATTTTTTTTCTTAATTTTATGCAAAAGACACCTTTACGAAATTTACCAAAGGGAAATTACTGTCTGTTACATTCAAACCAATACGATCTTCAGGAGAGTGGAACAAAGTGGCCAAGGAAAGAAGACGGCCGATGGAACAAAATGAACACTGGATCATACAGCCACTGGATAAAATATGGCCTAAGGGACACGACGGTCATTGGAACTAAATGGACAATAGGAAAAATGGGCGACAAACAAGAAGGCTGTTGGAATGAAAAGGCCAGTGGAACAAAACTACGAGAGGAACCATTTAACCCACGGAACAAAACTACGAGAGGAACCATTTAACCCACGGAACAAAACTACGAGAGGAACCATATAATCCACGGAACAAAACTACGAGGCCAACCGTATATATCCCACGGAACAAAACTACGAGGGCAGCCGTATATAACCCACGGGACAAAACTACGAGAGGATCCATATAACACACAGAACAAAACTACGAGGGCAGCCGTATATAACCCACGGAACAAAACTACGAGAGGAACAAAAGAGTCGATGGAACAGGAACGGGAAGGGCAATGAACCGGTCACCTGTTTCACCTCAGAGAATGATGCCGTCACCAGTTTCACTTCGTTGGTGATGACGACCTGGGGGTTCTCTCGTGTGTAGTGGAACTCGACCTCCGGCAGAGAAGCGCGCTTGTCCACGGGGGCCTTTCCTTGGGCAAAATCCTGCACCGCGTCAGGTTGTACAGTCAGCATTTCGTCCACGATGAGACACGACACCTTTAGCAGAGAGGGTAAAGGGTAAGTTGTGAGGTATTTGTCCCTGTTAGTGCTCTGTAAAAAAAAATATGTAAATAAATATTGCGGTAAATAAGCATCAGAAATGAAATATATAGAGCATTAATAACTTCTTTAAGTGTGTTTAACTTGCCATCAAAAATTAGTCTTCGAAAGTTGGCGGTAAGACGAAGGTTGTATTTTTATTTAACTCCCAAAACCTTCCCTTTTACGTTTATTATAATACACTGTTTACACCGGGAAATTCGTATGTTTTCATCATAGATTAAAAGCTTTTACACATAGTAGCGGAAGCTGCTCATGTCACATTTTTTTCACTTACCTATACAAATTTGTACTTTTCCTATGTCTAAAAGAAAGACTAAAATTGTGTTCTGGTACGCCCAGAAAGTTTAACACTACTCAGGTGGTAAGTTCATAGGCAT